AACAACTATTATATGACTTTTCCAGTCAGAGTCAGAGGCATCGCAACATAGTAGCTTATATTATGATAATGTGTATCCACTTAGAATTGGAATATTTGACCTTAGACATTATATAGTCAGAACAAGTAAAAAAAGGCTTGAAACCAAAGTTAAATCTGGAAAATGGATTCCACAAGAAACTGAAATGCCATTTAATTTTAAGATTGAGGGTGTGGAACCTAGGTAAATATTAATTATTTCGATCCTATAATAATATTTAATCTATTTTTAAAAAACTCTTGTAAATTTTTAAATGAATTTAATTGATTGATTTAGAAAAAGAGAAGGCGGAATGTTGGTTAATTTTACATTTTCGGTTGATCCTGCACGAAAATCCGAAGCATTAAATGAAATCTATAAGAATGTTGAAGCTTATATATCGGCTAAAAACATTATACCGTGGTTTAATCTTAAACCGCTCGAAGTTTATATGGTTAAAGTTAGTATTTTTTTGATTTTGATTTTTTTACTTCCAATAAATACATGCTTATTAATATATTATTTGTGTATACTTTCAGGGCGAACCTTTTATTGAAGATTTGGCCAATAGATTTCCCGCAAGGTATTTATAATTTATTTACTAGAATATTTATCCATTTTGATATATAAAATAAATATTGGAATATAACTTGAATATATTAATAGTCGACTTCATGTTGAATTTCAAGGACCAGATGTTTCGATCGTACGTATACACATCATAAATATATATATTGTATAATAGTAATAATTTATTGATTATTTCGTAAAAATGAATCATAATTTTATTCCTCTTCTTTCAAAAAAATCATATATACATAGGAAACTTTGTATCAAATATTTCGACCATATGGATTAATTCGTGATATAATCCTACCGCAACCATCTTCAAAAGATGCCCCTCGATTTGCTTTGATACAATTCTCCAAAATGAGATCTGCTACAAGCGCTAGAAATTGTGTTCACGGTTTAATTACAGATGGCACGAGACTAAATATTGTCTATGATAAAACATTGGTAAGTATTATTTATTAATAGAGAAAAGGAATGGGTGCTGATTAATGAGGAAAAAGAAGATATTAAATTAAGAAAATTTTAATCTTTATAGAAATCAAATATGATATATAGCTGGATGATTGCACATCCAAGAACTTCGGTAAAAAAAATTTTTTTCATTAATCTTTAATTAATGAGTACAATCCTCATTCTTTTTGTCTTTTTTTAATATTTTATTTATTTTGTCTTTTTAGATACCATTAATAGCAGCTGCTATTGCTGGTATTACTTACACAATGTAATCTATAAACTCATAAATTATTATCGATCAAATTATGTGCATATTTTAATTTTTTAAATATTTTTTAAAACAAAATAGCTTTGATCCGATTCGAACCTTTTTTATAACTTCAAAAATCACACAACGATTCAACCCTCAAGAATATCGTATTTATCAATGGCTTAGACGTGAAACTATTGACAGATTATTAACTTACCGTAATAAAAATGAAGATAATTCATAATATAAATAAAGAACATGTATATAACTTGCTTTTAAATTTAAAAAATTATCTGTAACAATATTAATCCTTACAACATGGTGGTGGTTTAGCTAAATTCTTTGTCACGTCCTGAACGACTTAATTTATATCATTGCAGCAGGGTTGCAATGAGACATAAGATAGATCATTATAATTGAAAATTATTATGCTGAGGGTGACACTTCTGATCCTGATCCTTCAAGCCTCTGCGTCTCAAAAAATAGCAATTATAATTCTTTTGATTCTCAATCATGGAAGTAGATGCAATATGAGAAAGCATAGATTTGATCACACAATTAGTTATTTCACAGAGTCTTGCCAATCCAGTGAAGCTAACTTAAATATTCAAGGGGGTTTTTTTTTCAGATACAATAAATACCTAAATCAGAAATTTTTTCAATTTTAACATGTATGCTAGATA